GAGAGAGGAGAGACGATGGAGGCGTGGAAGAGTAAAGAGAGGGTGCTAATTTATGACTTTAAATTCAAGAATTGAAAGTCAAGGTCCAAGTCAAGGAGGTACGTGGTAGGGGAGGCACGTGGTCACTGGTGCCCGCAGACCAGGGTTCAAATCCTGGTTCTTCTGCGTTCAGGCCATGTGGCCTTGGCACGTCGCTTTGCCTGGTTCCTCCTTTGCACAGCATGGAGAACACCGTCCTGGGGGTTGAGACAGTGCTTGTGAACCGTTTTCAAGGACTGAGCCCCTGGGGGCGCAGAGGAGGGGCTGGCTCGGGGCTGCTGGTGTTACTGGTCCTGTTCTCAGCCCAGAACTGGGTTTCCTTGGAGATGCTCATTGTCCAGCAGGGTCGAGACATTGGTCTCTCTGGGGTTCAGAGAATGCCTTGGAGTTCTGGCAAAGGTACCCCCATTCTCCCTCCAGGACCAGGTCTGCCAGGTAGCTGGGTGGGCATGAGAGGTCCCTGTCGGGTAAGGGACAAGAGGGGCAGGCTTCCTGGCCTCATCAGCCCTCTGTTGTGACAGCCAGTACACGGACCTGCCAGTGGTCAGATCAGAGGGCTTCCTGCCAAGAGAAAGGAGCGTGGCTCCCTGAAAAGTCTCCCTGACAAATGCAGAGCAACGTGACGCAGTGGTGGGGCCAGGTGCCTAGGACTGAGGGGTAATCCTCAGGTATCTGCTCTGTGCCTCATCTTCAGTCAGAAAACACCCATCTCTGTGCTTTGCTTCCGATTTGTTAACAGACCCTCCACCCCACAGCATTTCCCATGTCCCACTTCCCCATCCCCCTCAACACTCCCTCCCCTCCCCCCTCCCCGTCCCCCCTCCTCCCCTCCACCTCCCCACACACTGCCCAGACTCCCCCAGGTGCTCACACCTTGTCTCTGAACTGCCTGCATTGAAATCACCTGAAATGCTTGAAAAAGCAGACTCTTGCCCTCTCTCCTCCCCCCATCCTCTCCCCTGCCCCATCCTCTCCCCTCCCCCACCGGCCCTGCTAACCAGGTGTGTGGGCTCTCCCCCAGGGCATTCACGTGGGGGAGCTGTCTCAGGCTGTGGGGGGCAGGCAGGTGTGCCTTTTGAGCACAGAAGCATAAATGTTTCTCTCTGAACGGAGCCTAATGGCAGGGTTCATACCCAGTTCATGCCCCGGGCAGTACAGGGAAAGTCACCTTGGTGCTTAATGGAAGGGCAGGGGCAGGGTGCGGGGAGCCATGCTTGAGGGGAAAAAGCTCTGCTTCCGGAAGGCCAGGCAGGGGCGGGGCGGTGCTCCAGGGCTGCTAATGCTTCCGCAGACTCCAGGGTGGTCCTCGATACAGACGGGGCTCGGGGAATGGGGTGCGGGTTCGGTGCCATTTTGATGTTGTTGTGACCAGGGACCCACGAACAACCAAATCCTTCCTAACAACCCCCTATGTCCCCATAGGCTTCCTTACTGGGTGTGTATTAGCTTTACAGCACTGCCGTAACCAACCACCAGCTGAGTGGCTTAAGCCACAGAAATGGATTGTCTCCCAGTTCTGGAGGCTGGAAGTCCAACACCAAGGTGTTGGCAGGGCTGGGTCCTTCTGAGGCCTGTGAGGGAGAATGTGTTCCAAGACTCCGTCCTGGCTTCCGGGGGTTCGCTGGCAATATTTGGCATTCTTTGGCTTGTAGACGCGTCACCTCATCTCTGCCTTCGTCGTCACACGGCGTTCTCCCTGTGTGCGTCTGTATCCAAACGTCCGCTTTGTATGAGGACCCCCGTCATCTGGGATTACGGGCCCACCCTACTCCAATGTGACCTCATCTTAACTAATTACATCTTCAACGACTGTATTTCCAAATACGGTCACATGGTGAGGTACTGGTTCAAGGTTAAGCCTTGAACATATGAATTTTGGGGAGACACAAGTTAACCCACACAGGGGTTTAACAAAAGGAGACACAGTCCCACTTTATTAACACCTGAGCCCCACAACCCCTAAACACGGGGCTCCTGAGTCAGAGCTAGGTGGGCGAGGCGCCGACACTAGAAGCAAGTTGCCCCTGTTACCTAGGATGGCTGGGGGTCGGGGCAGGTAGGGGGTCAATAACCCGCCACTGGGAGTGAAAACGAGAGAAGGGGCAGAGCATGGCTGGCACTTCTAGCACAGTGATGCTGCCCACAAGGAAAATGTGACTGATCAGAATAATAACGCCCCTTTCCTGGCCGGGGGCGGGGGAAGGCTGTTAGCAAGGGGTGGGTAGAGTTAGACCTGGCATGAGAAGATGGACCGTCTCTAAAAGGCCATCTGGAGGGGACCACGAGGTCATCCAAACACCTGCCCAGATGTGGAATTAGAAAGAAGCAGTTGTGGCAATATGAGAATTCTTGCCCCTTTGCAGTGCCCTTAAACAAATGGGGACTTGGAACCATCAGAGGTAGGAGGGAGCAAAGCCAGCCACAGCAGGCGCAGGATGGGGAACAGGGGTCCAGGTGCCCAGGAAAAGCAGAAAGTGGGTCAGCCAGCCACATCTGAGCACGGAAGGGACCACCCCGGCTTCGGCCCTGGCCTGGTGGCCACACCGACTGGAACAGAGTCTGGGCCCTTTCTGCTTCAAAGCGTCTCTTTGCCTGGAGGCCCTGACAGAGGCCAGACTCTGGCCTTTCAAAGCAGAAGCCGTCGTGTGCACTGTGGATGGGAGCAAGTGACGAAAGTTCTGGGTACATATAACTTCATGGAAAAGGGGTTCTCGGGGTTGGAAGGGACCCAGAGTTCATTGCATCCAATCTACAGTGCTGAGATTGGAATCCCAGCATGGCCTCAGTCAGGACTTGGCTGCAGTCACATGGAACGGGGTTTCCCACGTAGGAGATGCTGGCTTGCTGCTCAATCTCTCTGAGCCTCGACTGCCTCGTCTGTAAAATGGGAATGAAGATATCCATTCTGCAGGATCATTGTAAGATCAGAGATTGTGCATCAAGTGTTTGGCCAAAAGGAGGCACTCACTTGGGAATTGTTACTGAGCCAGGCGAGTTCAGACCTGACATAAAATCTCTGAGGAGCAAACGCAATAGATTTTACCTCTTAGTTATCTAAGTGGTGAAATTTTAAATTGTCCCAAATAATTTTATTCTGTGAAATTTACAGAACCCACAAATGATGATTTTGGTCTTGCTGGATGGTTTGATGATATTTGCTCCTTTAATAAATCCTCTTGGGAGAGCCAAAATGCTAAGACTGAAATTAGCAATGTAGAGAGGACTAGGCATTTTGGAAAAGTAATTTGGCATTGCATAACAACAATGTGTTGGCATTCAGCTATTTCGTTATTATTAGGTGTGAATTCTAAATTGGGGGGTTTTGTCCCTTAAATTCATCACTTCCCAAAATAGCTTTCGTAAAAGTACAGATTTCTCAAATGCTAATAGTTCCATTTCTCCACGCGGGCTCCCAAGGACATGAATAGAAACATGGCCACATTCCCTGGTGAGGTTGGAAGGCAAGGCTGGACAGTGGCACTGACGTGGGCAGCCAAGTAGAGGGGCCTCAGAATGGATTCATGAAGCGTCTGTTGGAAAAAGAGGCATTGCTGTGGAGGATCATGCCCTGCCAGCTTCCTCCTCCTTCCCTTTGTGGGCTTGTCCTCACAAGCTCAGCCCAAAGAAGGCTTCAGGGAAAGCCTTGCAGTTGGCAGCACAGACTTACAGCCGAAGCTCAGTCCTTTCTGTACTTGGGTCCTCACCTGGGCAGCCCACCAAGCTGAGAGCCACTGCCCCATCCTGCAGTCACCTCACACAGCATACAGGTGCCAGCTCCCAGTCAGAGCACAGACACTGGACCGTCCTCTGCCACTGACTTGCTGTGTGATGTTGAGCAACCTCTTCCCCTCTCTGGGCCCTAACTTCCTCATTTGACAGCAGGTTGGGGGGAGGGTAATTTATGATCTCTGAGCTTTCTCCCGGCTCTATGGGTCTTTTCTGCCTTACAGTTATACATTTGGATAATGTCCAAATGTGGCCAAGGGTGCTGGACACACTTGAGCAAGGAGAATAAGTGGATTCATTTGGGGAGAATTCTACTTACACGGAGCAAGGCTTTTACTACTTCACAGCCTGGCATTGGCACCATGGCATGGGGTTGTCCAATGGGTACCAGGAGGACCCTCAGAACGGTTCATGCCTCTTGGACCCATGGGCTGCATCTTCCCTCGCCCCCTCCTAAAGAATGAGAGTCACTTTAGGCTACCCTGACTGCTGAAATGGGCAGGGGTCACCCGAATCCCACCCTCGGAAGAGGCCTCCCTCTCCAGCAGGTTCTTCCTGGTGTGAGACACACTTGGAGCTTTGCAGGCTGTTTGCAAAGTTATTCTCAGCCCTTGCTCCCGGACAGCCTCCCTAGGCAGGCAGAGCTAGGATTGTGAGCAAAGCCTCAGACTCTTCTGGTTGCAGCGATCATAGAGATGATCTTATTCCACCGCCACAGTTTTCATATAAAACATCCAGGCGCAAGGAAGGGAGAGGACTTGCCCAGGGGCACACAGCAGGTCCGCAGCAGAGTTGGAGCCAATGGCCAGGACACAATTAGCTATTAGCCCATTTCTTAGATAAGCTTGGGTTCCAGAGTCAGATAGACCTGGGTTCAAATCCTGTCTTTACCATTTACTGGTCGTGTGACCTTGGGCAAATCACTAACTTCCTTGGACATCTACTTCCTCATGTGTAAAACAGAGATTGTCATATCTCCCAGGCTTCCATGAAATCATGCGTACAGTGCGTAGTTGGCACACTATCTAGAATAAAATAAGTGCCGGGTGAATATCCACCATTGTTACTGTCATTGTTGTAAATTGCTGTTGTTGTCACTGTTGCTTGAAAAAGTCTCAGGGAAATTGAGCTTGGCCAGGAAGCTGGGGTCCGGGCTCAGACAAGCTCTGGTCCACGGCCGCCCCCTGCAGCGCCCGGCTGTACTCCCAGTAATGGCCTTCCCTGTCTCTCCGCAGGCTGGTGGAGCTGTCCTCCACGGTGCCCATCGGCTCCCACTGGGGGGTGCTCTCCAAGTGCTTGGCGTACAGCAAGGCCGCGTCTGACCCCTTCGTGTACTCCTTGCTGCGGCACCAGTACCGCAAGAGCTGCAAAGAGATTCTGAACAGGGTGCTCCACAGGCGCTCCCTCCACTCCTCGGGCCTCACGAGTGACTCCCACAGCCAGAACATTCTGCCTGTCTCTGAGTGAAGGACCCCGCCTCTGCTGGAGAGTTTGGAATGAGATGGCTGGTGAGAAGCAGGGAGGGAGGGCTTGGGGCTCCTGGGCGAACACCACCAGCCGCCAACCCCCTGGCAAGCCCAGTGATTCCAGTTCCCTGGTTTTTTGGGGCTCTGAAGCCTGCTTCCAAGGTCCTCAAGGGTGGATGTTGGATTGTCCCTATTTGTCACCAAAGGATAACCATAGGGTGTGCTCTGGCTTTTCTTTCTGAGAAGCTCCTTTGAGCTCCTAGACTCACCAGGGGCTCCCCAGGATCGCACTCAGTCCAGTCATGATCGAGGACACACAGTGCTGCTGGCAGGTGGGGAAGCAAGCATGGCATCCACTTGCTCCCTAGCCTCAGGATGTTGGGCTCTATGCTGAAGAAAAGTGGCATTCTCCATGGGACATCAGTCACTCTGAGAGTGAGGTTGGCTGTGGACAACTGGCCCCACATCTAATATGGCTCCTTTTCTCCACATGGCAGTGGTGGCTGCTTTATCCCAAATATTATTCAGCTGGTACTAACTCTGTTATGCTCAGTTGGGACTCTTGGGCCCTGCGTCCCAGGGGAAAATGTTTAACAACGAATGGCTACCCAATTGTTGCCAACCAGTTGTCTTAGAAATGGTTTATTGGAGTCAATTTTTGTCCCTCGCTTCCCCCGAAAAGCTAACGTTTGTGTGTGTAGACAATCTTAGCATGAAAATGGTTTAAATAGGCAGGTAATTCATGTAGTAATGTTCTTTGAAGTCTGACCCTGAAGTCACCTTCTTCTGATTTGCGTGTCATAGCTGTTGGAACTAAGGAGAGGCGGGAGGAAGGTGGCTGGCTGGCCTCTCCCTGATCTGTGATCTGAATTTGGAGGAAGAGTTTTACTTTGTCTCACACGTCTTGCCCAGCACGTCCTGCAGGATGCACGGACAAGAAGTGACCTAAGCAGAGTTTTAGCCTTGATTTTAAGGCACTGGGTTCCATTATCCTGGTGGCTCAATATCCCATAAGTCGATCAACAGAAAGTAGAAGCTGCCCAAGCTGATCAAAAAAGTGTCCTGAGCTCATGATGAGAGGGTGAAAATTTTACTGAAAACCATAACTATAGTACTTATGCCAATCCATTAGCAGCCCCTGTCTTGACTTAATAAAAACCAAGGTGAGTGGACCATGCTTTCTGCCCATCCATCTTTGATTAGCATTTCCAATGACATCTGAATGCCAACAGCAGTTATTTCTCAGTCCTCCATCTAAGTGATTGCTCCAGGGTGGAAAGGATGGGAGCAGTAGACTCAGAAGGCTCATTCTCTCCTTCAGCTCCGCACGTGCTGACTTTGGAGGTGTAGAGAGGAGGACGCAGTCCAACAGGGACCAACCAGGAGGAGCCCATTGCTTTTCACTGCCAAGGGGCCCCAGTACTGTAAGACAGAGATGTGTTGTTCATGTCTATTTGCAAAGCTGTTGTCTTATTTCCCTTAGCTCCTCATTTGGAAAACAAATAACTGAGCCTGGCCTAATCTTGGTAGTTTCAAGGTTTCTGTGGAGACTAGAACGAAGACAGACATAGCTTCCAGGCCTCGACACCTTCCGGTTGTGGTTGGAGGTGTGCTCATGTCTGCTCGGGGGAGCCCAGGGGGCCCATCCTTCCCAAGTCATGTTGGTACCTTGAAATCAGCCATGATGGGAATATTTATACCAAGAAAATCAGTAAATGCTACAAATCAGGTCTTTTTCTCCACTGAGAGCTGGTTGTTAAGCATCTACCAGCACACCACTGCCCAGACACGACTTTGTGTGTGACTGAAACAAAATTGCTCTGATTCAGAGTGCATTTGGCCACTCAAGTTTGAGTCACAGCAGACATTCATTTTTGGGGCACTTTCCTAGTAACAAGCTGCTGTTCACCCTCCATTGTCCCCACACCAGAAGTACCAATGAGGTCAAAACCAGGCATGCAGCCATGAAAATATGCACAAATACTCAGAATTGGGCAAAAGAGGAGTCGTGCCCCAGTGGATGAGGTCTGTAGACAGTCAAGTTCAAGCAGTAAAACAGATTTCTCTCAGAGTCAGGCTGGAGGAGTAACTACATCAAACCCGCTTCCTGCTCCTTCTATACAGGCAGCGGATTGTAGGCCTGGAAACGACTCCATCTTTTTTACCTCTTTTTTAGCTAAGAAACAAGACCTATCACCCACAATGCCACATATCTTGAAAAGATACATTTTGTAATTTTCACAAACCTTTAGGACTGCTAAAAAAAAAAACCCAATAAAATTAGTTGCCTTAGCATCATATAGACAAAACCACAGATAAGTCAGTTGAGTGTTGTCTTTATTATTTAGACACAGGCAGTAAAATCCAAGGAGAAGTGAGAAGAAAATCACAGAATTAGCCATCAGCTCAACCGACTCTGCCAGAATTACCTTTGGAGGAAAATTCATCTATTTACAGTCTCTAAAACTTGCCCCCGGCTTTAATATTCCCAGGAGAATGATCTACCTCATTTGGTAATTTAATTTATCAAACGTAACGTGGTTTTCTCAGGTAAAACACTTAGAAACGTCAAGATCAGCTGCTCCGTCAAAGGGCCTGTGTTTACTGCTTGCCTTCGGTCTAGCGCGCGGCTGGATAGCGAAGGCCCAAACTCGAGTGGCAGCTGGACTAGGTGAAAGCATTTGCAGAGGCTTGAAAATAAAACCTGGAATGGAGAGGCTTTCAAATTCCTAAACCCACAAATAGGGTGCAGTTTCTAGCCCTCCGTGATCAGAATTTGTAGGTTTAAACCCAGCCCGTGATGCCTTTTTCAGTCACCCTAGCTTTTCCTATGCTTCTGCTTGAAGGAGGGGATTCCAGAGCTCTGGGACCCGCTGAGGGACCGTCAACTCGGAGGAGTGTCGTGGCATTGGGGATTTGTGGTCTCAGGGTTAGCTGGCCTCCCAAAGATGTTTCACGGAGAGCCTGCCTGTTTTTACTGAGAAATCGGCTCGGGGAGGAGGGGACGTTGACTTGAGTCATCTCCTGCCATGCCTTGTAGGACTCCGCTCCGTCTTCTGCTACCGTGAGCAATAAACCTCTCTCCTCGTGTTCGTGAAATTAGTTTTCTGTTTCATGGTGCCTTTCTTTCTGAGAGAACATGGAAAGAGCAGGCCACGCCCATGTCCTGGTTGCCATCCTTTTACATACTGGGGGCAGGCAGAGGATGCCCTCGCATGGCTGTGGTGTGACGCTTGGAGGGACTGCAGGCTGTGCATTTTTAGAATTTAACCCGAATGCAGGATAAACTAACTTGCCCATGACTTTAATAAGGATATTTTATCTGCTGCCAGGAATTCCTTGCATCAGCTTGTATCCTTCGGACAGTGAGTACCAGGGGGAAGAGAGAAGTCTGGGATGTATCTGGGGCTCCCACTAATTTCCTGGAAGGTCTAAAGCATCTGGAATGGAACCATTGGCTCCTAAACTTTATTATCCACAAGAATCACCAAGGGAGGTTGTTTAAAATGCAGATTCCTGTGCCCCCTCCTCAGAGGTCAGTTTAGGGAGGTCTGGACAGGACCTGGGATTCTGCATTTTCAAACCTCAGTTGCCCAGGTGACTGTAGCAGGTGGTCTTCAAACTATTCCTTGAGGAAAAATGATCTTAGACACCCAGATAAACTCTATGGAAAACCGGGTCTTTCTAAATATCTATATTTCAATTGTCTTGTATCTTTCCCTAATTCTCCAAGTAGTTCAATTCCCAGCCTTATTCAAGGGCTGAGTCATTTTGTTCTCAGAGGGACGAAATTGATCACTCCATAAAATTCTAAAAACCTGTTTTCAGAAGACTCTGGTGGAACAGCAAAAGCTGTCCACCCTCTGAAGGCATTTGCAAAGCCACCGCTTTCCTTTCCGAGGGGCTCCCGGGATGGAAGCACGAGAGGTACTGGGCATGTTGGCAGAGGATGCCCCCTGGCTGGCTCAGAGCCAGGATGTTTTGTTGGAGAAAAGGAAGCAGGGCATTCAGAGGGACACTGGTTGGGTCTCCACTCAGACTCTACCCGGGTAGCCTGCTGTGGGAGGCGATGGAGTCTGGCCCCTCTGCCACTAACCAGAGGCTGTCCCATCCCCTTTCCACCCAGCCTCATCCATGGGGAGTGGAGCCAGGCTGAGCCAGTGCTGGATGTCAAGCCCTGGGTGTGGGTCTCTTGTTGGTTCCCCGCTTCATCCAGCAGGGCTGACCATGCCGGGTCCCCCAGGAGCAGCTCGTGATAACGACAACGGTCCTTACAGCTGGTGTCTACTGAGTGAAGGCTGGGCACCCAGACATTGGGCCAGAACTTGGAGTAGGGAAGAGCATTTGACAAGACACAGAGGAGATGTGAACGTGCCTGTGAGGAGTCTAATGGGGTCTGAGCTTAGCGTGTATCCAGTAATGTACCAGGTGAGCACCAAGAAGGAGGGAAAGTGCCTTCTGAGACAGAGTGAATGTGATCTGTGGCCAATTGGGAGATGATCCAAGTCTTGAAGTTGAGAGTATCAAATTCGATTTCTTTTAGAAAGAGAAAAAAACATGGGGGGAAATCCATAAATATTTAGCTACCAAAAAAAAGAGAAGGAAGAAAGAAGAGAAGAAAGTAAAGAAGGGAGGGGGGGGGTGGGAGGAAGGAGGGACCAACACACATTGCATTTATTTTGAAGGGCATCTGCATTATATGGTGAGTGGGGGGGGGCATACTTCATTCTTAAGAAACCAACCACACTTGGCCAGGGCACATCACTGACAATGTACCTGAGTGGGAAGAAAGGTTTGTCTTCAGTAGGGTGTGTACACTCAGTATCAGTGCGGGTCCTAATGGGCACTGCCACGTACCCCCGGGACAACTGGAAGCACTCACACAGCAGAGACGAACATGTTTGCAAATTTACTCCTGTGCTGTGTAGCAATTCAACTGCCCTCGCTAACTCACACCTGTCTCTGGGCCTTGTACAATTTGCTCATGCTATGTGTCATGTGAATATATATCTGGCATTTAAAGGTCAAATATTATGAATCTAATCAGTCTTAGCATACCCATATTCAAGGACTTTTTAAAATCATTTAGATTGTTGACTCAGAAGGCTGTGCGTGCACCTTTGGAACACTGATTCGTGGCATTTCCTTTATCCTTTCTCCCGCAGGGCCAGTGACTCTGTGGTCAGTATCTTACCTATTCCCTGGCGTGGAAGAGCTGTTGCATATGTTTAGTAGAACCTAAAGTCCATGTTCTGATGGGTTCAAATACGCTAAAATCTGGATTTGGAGAGAGGAAGCCCACTTTGAATTGTGAGAGTCAGATAATCGCCGTTCAGGCCCAGGCCTCAGTAATACCCCCCGCTCCATAGGGAACATGTTTGCGGAGCGTCACATGCCATCACATTGGCACACAACTGATTGGTTGACCTAACGACCAGATCAGATGAGGCACATGCCTGGATAAAATTCCAGACACCCAGCCCCCAGAGGCTCAGCCTGCCGTTGCCTTGCATCCAAGTTATTTCATACCAAATCTTTGCTTGAATTATTCATCGTCACCAAACCCCATGCTCTAAAAACCTTCAAATGCCAAGTTCCCTTGCAAACCGAAATCATTCCAAACCTCAACAATTCTGTTTTACAACAAGTGTTTAAACATAACCTCTTCTGGCACAGTCGAGGGACATTTAAGGAGGACAGTGTCTCGCCAACCCCATCGGGATCTCCCCAGGGGAAACCTGGCGAACTCCAGATCACAGACAGCCTTGGAAGTCCAGGGACGCATCAAAGAGGTGCCTTGTCTTACCCTCATGACCACGTGGGGCATTTTTATAAACATTGGAACAGGCCAGTCTTTGTTTTCTTAGGCTTATGTGGGGAAGGAATCCAGACCTTTGCCGTTTGGATGTACCTTATCCGTTTTGGTGAGGCGGCTCCTAGGATGACATAAATCCATCCCTCTGCTGTGGCATCTGGTGGAGTGGATGTCAGCACACAGGTCCAGCCACCCGCATCCATCCTCCCTAATGGAGCACACTCATCTCCCACACAGAGGCTTTACCCTGCCCAGTGTCCTTTGGGAGGAACAGCACGTCCCTTAGTGAGGGGAGCTGGGTATGCTACCCTTTGAACTCCCAGAAGCTCCAAGTAACGGGAGGACTGAAGTCCAATTCTGTACATTCCTTCAGTTTTCACAGATGTCGTTATTTGTAGGTGTCTGTGCAAAGTGAGGCGGGGGAACTTACACTGTCCATACCATAGCTTGGAGCATCCAGAGAACAGGCCAGTAGATGATAGAAGGGAGCCCACATTAAGGAAACCTAAGGTACGTGCCAGCTGGTTAGGCATTCCACGCGGAAATGTACGGTATATTTGGACACTTCGAAAATACTTTTAGAAACAGGGATTTAGAAAAATAAAAGATATTTCACTCCCAGGGACAAAGTGATGTGCACATGACTGGCTCCTGTACAATGTTCCGTCCTTAATGTCAGACCCATGGGAAAATGGGTGGGACATCTGTGTTTTTATGTTGGAGCCAATGCGCCCACAAACGTGTGCACCCTTGAGTGTATGCATATGGGAAGATGTTCACGGACACAAACATACACACTGAGTATGAAACAAATGCAGCAAAAGTTTAGCATCCTCCAATGCTTCTTAACATTGTAGCTTAACTTTATTTTCTCCTAAGTTATTAACCAGAAGTAGGCTCCACTATAAAAACATTCCCGGAAGCCCTCCCAACGTGAAAGTATTACCTTTCGTGTGATGCACTTGCCAACAGCTGTTTTCTGTTGCAATGGGACTCAAGATGTTTAAATCCAAGGCCGATGTTGCCTGCTCTGTTTACAATGGCTTGTGTTTTGTGAATACATATCAAACATTGTAATATATTTTTATGATAGAATTGATAGTTAATACAGAAAAAAAAAGTATATATTGTGATTCTGTGCAATAAAGCCTCCTGTTATAAAATCTCATCTACACTTCGATGGCCCGGTGTGAACATGTTTTTATTAAGTACAAGGGAATTGTCAGAAATGCTGGTTTTCCATAACATCATGGTGGGGCATAAAAAGTTTATATTTCTTTTCTCGCCTATCTTCCTATATTGTACCCCCTTTTCTCTCCTGCTTCCACTCCCCAGATGCTCCTGGCCTGCACACAGCCTTCTGAGGGGTAGGTATTCATCCTTTCAGGCCATCTTTTACTTACCCAAGCCCCTACCAAATACAGCTGCCCAGAGACTGACAGCCTGTCCCTGGGAGGCACATGCCCCACCCAGCCAAATGCTATGCAACTTTTGCCACTTTTAACCCAGTTCCTTAGGCTTTGCTAGATGTCTAATTGCTGCTCAGATCCCAGAAAGAGAGCGGGAGGGACTCAAAAAGGAAGGAGGCCCATATTTGCTAATTTCCCGCTGTGTGGAAGGCGCCATGCAGGGGCCTGCTACAGACTGAACGTGTGTGTCCCCCCAGAATCCGTATGTGAAACCTGCCCCCCAAGGTGATGGTATCTGGAGGTGGGGCCTTCGGGAGGTGATTTGGTCATGAGGGTGGAACCTTCACGAATGGGTTTAGCACCCTTATAAAGAGGCCCCCGAGAGTGCCCTTGCCCATTCACCATGTGAGGACACAGGAGAAGATGGCATCTATGAACCAGGAAGAAGGTTCTCACCAGACACTGAAGCTGCCAGCACCTTGATCTTGGACGTCCAGCCTCCAGAACGTGAGCAATAGATTTCTGTTATTTATTAGCCACCAGTCTATGATGTTTCTGTTACAGCAGCCTGAACGGACCAAGAGCCTTGGCCACAGTTTCTCACTGAAGAGTTCCGAAGGAGGGGCTCTCTCACTTAGTAGCTGCAGCGACTGTGCTCAGAAGGGTTAAATGACTTCCCAGGATCACACAGCTAGTAAGTGCGGCAAGGAGGTTTGAAACAGGTGTGTCTGAGATGAACTCCTGTTTTCACTAAATCTGTGAAGATGTCTCCCAGACTTAGAGATGACTCAGCAAGGCCTCTCTTTTTACGGTTGGGGAAATTGAGGCTTGGAGAAGGAAGTTGCTTCCAATATCAGATATTAGAACTCAAGTATCCTATGACGAGGCAAGTCACTGCCTTCATTCTTCCAAAAATCACTTCTGCTTTCTGCTTCTGATTTCAGATTTGCCAGTCTCTCGGTATAGCTGGAGCACGCTGGCCTTTCTGTGGCATCCTTCCCTCCTCAGTAGTGTGGGGAAAGGGACCTTTTATTCCTCAAAGGCTTGCGAGGAATAAATCAGTGTCTCACATACAGCAGGTAGCACGGGGCCTCACATGTAGGGACACCCAACCGATGTCACAATAGTCTTGTCGTGCTGGGGTCCACCGTCCCGCAGCTGCTGCGGCTTTAGGATATTACTTCCCGCTTAGCCGAAGAATTAATGTATAAAGTTAATATCTTCTTGCCAGCAGTGTCTAAGAGCAGGGGCGCATGTGAGGAAATACCAGCTTTGCACTAATTTGCTGTGCAACCTAGAACAGGTAACTAACCTCTCTGAGCCTCAGTTTCTTCATATGTAAACTGGAGATGACAATAACACCTGCCTCGCAGCACCGTGAAGTCATATGTTCTAAGTGCTTAGGATGGTGCCTGACATGGGGTTAACAGTTCAGTCAACGTCGGAGGCTAATACTGGAGCTATCTTCCCAGATAGCACGCGGTCAGGGTCAAGGCGGGTCTTGGGCCCTCCAAGGAGAGACTCCTAGGAAAGGCTGGCATGGAGGAGACATCACGGGTGCGGGACCTGGCACTCCCACGGTGCTCACAACACTGCACCTTGTTTCGTTTCTGAGCAGATTCACACAGCAGTCTCAAACCTGTCGCTCAGTCTAGAGATCTTAGCAGGAAGTCCCAGACATGATGCAACCAAGTATTGTGCAGTGCTCAGCCTGCCCAACACTCCCTCAGCACCCACAGTCCCCATCTGGACCTCACTGGGCCCACAGAGTCCTCGGGAATGGCCATCATGCATGAGGTATCACTGACCTGGATGTGTCTGGGGTGGGCCCTGCAGATGTCCTCCTGGGGGCCTGGCCACTGCTGTGATCAGCCTCTTCCTGCCCTGTGGAGCTGAGCTGACACCAGAGTCCTCCAGGAGTGTCCTCAGGGGAGTGGTATGTGGGTTTCAGCCCAGCCTCCAGGAGAACAAGGAAGAAAGAGGAGGACGGTGCCTGGGAATGGGATGGCCTGGCCACCAGGGGCCCCTTTGCCACCAGTGACATCTCTGGGGTGACTTCCAGGAGGAAAGACCCCTGTTCTGACCAAGGGTCTGCCGAGATCAGTCCCCTGAGTTCCTACTGTGTCTCGGATGCTACGCTGAATACCTCCACAGCATCGCCTCGGGTGATCCCCGTGCTGCTGCGAGGCTGGTGCTATGCTGATCCCCACCTCACAGGTGAGGAGCTGTGATGGTTAAGTCTAAGTGTCAGCTGGACTGGATCGTGGGGTGCCCAGACACCTGGCTAAGCATTATTTCTGGGTGTGTCTGTGAGGGTGTTTCCTGATGAAATTAGCATTTGAATCCGTGGGCTCAGTAAAGCTGTTTGCCCTCCCCAATG